AGACAAATATGTCTTTGTTATAAGACAGGGTGAGGAGTTATCCCAGGACTCCAAAACCTGAATACTTTAAATGGTTTTTACCCCCACATCAAGACTAAACATACTCCAGTATGTATGACCATCAATAGAAAAGACCTTTAAGACAATTAGTGTGCAATAAAGAAAAGAGAAAGAATATAGTTAGTTTCCCATGAAACACACAAAATCACACATCCCCTCATGGGTGGGTTGGCCCAAAGCAGGACCACTGGGTTGGCCCAAAGCAGGACCACTGAAGCAGAAAATGTTTCCCCAAGTCTAAGACATCTTCCGATGGGTACCCTAAGGCAAGTGGTAGAAGAGCCCAGACAAGTTTGAAAGAGAAAGAGCAAAATCAAAACTCAAGTCAAGATAAAGCTGCTTTTGTCAGCCTCCCCTCAGGTCTCTGTCTCTTTCAACTGTTTCAGTCCAATTGTCCCAAGTGCCTTGTAAAAGTCCAAGGTTGAGAAGCAAACACAGCTTCTTCACCTGTCTCTGCTCCATGTGCTTGCAGGGCCTCGTCTTGGCCTCTTTTCTCCTCCCTGTCTTTCTAGCTTCTCTTCTCTGCCCAGCTTCACCCTTCCTTAGAGTGGGGCAGAGTATCTGGAACCTTCCCTTTCCCTAGGGATTACCCTTTTACATCTTAAATTATATTTTAATGACCTTTAATTTATATTTTGTATTAATATATTTTATGAAAATACCAAAATTAACTGAAGAACCCTAAAGGGAAACTGAACAAACCAATATCCACAAAGGAATTAAGTTGCACCAAAAAAAGAAAGAAATCACATTTTGAGAACTGGAATGAGTATATTCTACAAAATAGGCAGAAACATAATTTCTATGTCATTCAAATTGTCAAAGAATATTGCAAACATGGAAAAATTCTAGTAAACTTCATGAATATAGTATGCTGATACCAAAATCAGACAAGGGTAATTCAAAAATGAACATGATTTTTTTTAAGTTTACCTTATGAATAGGCATAAAACTCTGAAATAAAACCAATCGAATCCAGATGTTTTTAAAAATGAAATTTATAAAAATTGCTAAAATTATAAAATGATATCAAACCATTGTGTGTACATGAATAAATGTAAAGAGAAGAATTTGGAGTGAACTACAAGAATCTATTAACAATGGCTATTAGAAGGAGAGAAAATTTGAGAAGTTGGAGAGAAACCTTTCATAGTTTGTAATACATATTTTTTAAAGATTTATTTATTCGTACAGAACTGGGGTACAGGCCAGAAATGCAGAGGGTGAGAGGATTCACCAGAGACAGAGCGGGAAGCAGAACAGACAGATCGATGAAGTACACTGCTGAGGGGAGCAGCGGGCGGGTCAGGAGAGGTCTGCCTCGCCATGCGGTCGACTCCGGGGCAGGCAGGAATCGAACTCATGCGGAAGTGGCTTTAGCTTCCTAGTGCAGTGCTTTAACATGCTGCGCCACCAGGGAGGGCCATATTTTGTAATATTTTAAGTTTTACCAGCATGGCTTCACAAATTAGTCAAGTAACTTACAAAGAAATTTTAGGGCTTCATAACAATTACTTGTGAGAGGTCATGCCAGGAGCTCAAAGACCTCTTTGTCTCTAAAAGAAAGTGAGGTGAGTTCTCAAGTTCCCCATAAAATAGAGATATTCTTCCCTAGGTGTTGCATAGTAAGGCATGGAAAAATAACAAATATGATAGACATCAAATTCAACAGTCAACTGAGAACTCAACCCTCCTCCACAGAGGCCAGTGAGGCCCAGACAGATTCCATAAATGGAGATGATGTTCTCTTACAAAAGTCTCTTTTCTGGTTGCATACATTGTCACATGACATCTCACAATACATTTTAACTTGAATAAATTTGTTTAATATTTCCTTACTCATGGAGTTCCTAGCGGTGCATAAGAATTGGTAATTAAACTTATAACAAACTTGATACTAGCAATATGATCTCATTTGTCCTACAAGGCAAGGGGACAAAATGAAAGTATATCACTAGTAAATACATACTTGCAATTACTTAGTGATTTGTTATCAAGGATAACCTGACTGTATACTATATCATTAAAGTGTAATTTAGAGCTCTTCTTTTTCATTGGGCAACTTTTTCTGTAGACTCTCAAGTTAGAAATATCTAGACACACGTGTGCATATGAGTAGCTGGTTGCTGGATAGTCTCTAACTTTAACCATATTCAGACCTTTGATTTCTTCATTTTAATTACAAAGAGCAGTCAAGGGGGTTTAAATTGATGTTGCCTGCTAGTGGTTGGGGAAAAAAACTGGTAAATTACAAAGAAAGCCTTTCTGTTTTCCTTAGATAGTCACGCCAGCTGGTTTCCCTCTCTGTTATGGTAGCTACTTCACTGATGAAACCTTCCTGTTTGTAGTATTAAATTAGTGTTCACTTCAAAAAGAAAGAAAAAGAAATAGCACCAGATCTAGGGAGAGTAAGCTTTCCATTTCATATAATAATATAAGTGAAGCACTTATAAAGAAGTTGTGGGATATCTACTCAATGGAAATACTACTCAGCTTTTTTAATAGGTGAAATCATGCCTTTTGGGACAAAATAGATGGGTCTTGAGTGAAGTAAGTCAGAAAGTAAAAGATGATTACCAGATGGATTCACTCATCTGCGGATAATAAATAACCAAAGAAAACAAACTGGAAACTACAACAAAAAGAAACTAAGATTCTGTGGAAATTATAGTGTTTCCCAGGGTGGAAGGGGAAGAAACTTTGAAGGAATGCACAGAGGGGGCGGTGTGGTAGGAAGATGGTTATAGAACTTCGATGGTGAGTAAGTGAACCATATACACAGAGAGGTATGAAGCTGTGCTCCTGAAATTATGTGGTTTTATAAAAGAATGGAAAATGAATAAAATGTGATTAAGAATAGAATATACAAAAAGATGTCCAAGAGGGACATCAATGTAGCATTTGGTTTTAATGCTGAAAAAAGAGCTCTTAGCCATTAGTCTTCTAATATAATTGATGTGTTGGTTAAAAATTATATTTCATAGGCTTCCTAATATTTTTCTTGTTCGCCTTGTTATAAGTATGATAAATATGTTATGTTTTTCAAGTCACACCTGAGGACTTCTAAAAGAATGGATGAAGTGAATTATTTATGATAAAAATGACAAAGCTGGATTTTAGCAATCACCTTCAGGGTTAAATAATCCCAGGGGTGGTCCCCTTTTACCCTACACTCACAGAAGAGGAACCGATTGTCAATTTGAATTAGACATCATTTAGGAAAAAAAAAATTCTTCCCATGACTATGAAACAGCTACAGATTGCTTTCTTTGCACTCTTGGGGAGCTGACAGGGTCCCAGATGGAGGTGTTTTTCAGCAAGCTGTCAAGTGATCCATCCCTCAAAAACAACCATGTCGCCCAATAGAGTTGTCTTTCTTTGTCTTTCAATGTAAGAATTATATTTGGTCAGCTGAGAGAAGCCAGAATATAATGATCCGAGAAAAGCCAAGGTCAGATAAATGTGTACCAGGAATGAAAAAAAAAAAAGTTATCACACTTAAACTCCAAAGGTCATATTTGCAGCTATTGTACAGTGACTAAATTTTTTTGCCTTCTACTTTCTTGTTTTCTTTCTAGAAAAAATGGACTTCATGAAAATAATACGAGAGGTTATTTTGTATAAATTATTAGAGTAGTTATACATAAAATTATCAAGAAAGGGCCTTTTAATTCAAAGAACTAAAGATAAGGTAGGAAGTAACAAAGACAAAATGTTGGAGTAAACACAAAGGATCATTCCTAGACAACTCTAGAAGTTTCTCTAGGGGTCTGATATACTCCATATTAACTTAGATACTTCTGGCCATGTAAGTATTAAAACCATAGAGAAGCATGAAAATTTCATGCTTATTCCTGGTATACTTTTGAGATTGGAGAGCTAAATTATGGGTTTTGTTCCATGTTATCTATGTGTCTCTCTATAAAATGCTACTTTATACATATTATATATAATCTACTTCAGATTAAGTCTTTGTAAAATGTCATATAGAATTATGAAAAAATATTCCTTGTATTAAGATCTTAAGGAAAGTTTTTTTACTATTCTCAGTGATTCCTTTCTGTTAATCCATTAATATATGTTTAATAATAAGTATTATATATAACAGAGTTGTGTTCTGTAATCTGTATTATCATGACATAACTAAAAATATCTTTTTACCACTCTGGCACACCTGGGGGACCTGTAACCGCCAAAAAGAACTCTCTAGAAAACAGCATGACACTTCAGGTCTCCTTAGTCAATTCAGGATCTTGCCTGAAAGAAACTTAGTGTTCAAATAAAATTTCAGCTGCAGTAAAATTTTAATGACTATAAGAATTCACTTAACATTGTTACCACTGTTTAAAAAACTACAACTGTGACTAGCTCAGGCATATACCTTAAACCATTGACAGCCATCAAGTTTGGCCCTCACATACCAGTTGGAGCTCTGCAGCAAAGAATCAAGATGCCCATAGAGGGGGACTAATCTTTATTCTTCCAATGTGGAAGGAATCCAAGCCAAAAATATTCTATAACATATGGATTTTATATGTCATCTCATTAAAAGTCACATTCTTTTTCATTATGAAATTTTGTTTTAAAGAAAGACTTTTCTTTTGTCTTCAGGAAGTTTCTTTCTTGGTTCTGCCCTAGCTATTCATAAAAATTCTGTCCCTGCCATTAGGTCTGTATTTTTACCTTTCTCTGCCTAAACAAGTTTATAATTTTTAAAAGCTGATGAAAAAAAAAAAAAACAGGAGGGAAAAACCAATAGAATTAGAAGTTATAAATGCTGGATGAAATGCCTGCTGGCCAGCCCAAAGTTTTGTTGTTTCTTCTTAAAAGCAAATTCAGTTTTAGCAGAGATAAGAAAATAGAGGTGGCTACGTCTTTACATTTGAAAGGTATTTCAAATGTAAATACCTTTCTTACTATTTCCTTCTTCTTTTTTATAGTGATAAGGTGATAAGGCTTATTCCCAACACGGAAGAGGACGTGAATGCTCTGAAGAAAATATACCACCAACTTAAGGTATGAGTGTCTGTCTACTCATTTACCAGGGCTCTCATGTGCTTTGTGCTTACAGGACTTTGCTACCTAGTGTTGAATAATTGGAATTGAGCAAGAGAGAAAACTGTTACATATTTTGAAAGATTTTAAAGGATAGCTAATGTTATTCCAAAAAAATGATCTACCTGAGCCACTCTCCATTACAGTTTAACTTATTTTTCATCTCCATTAGAAGAACCAACTTTCATGAGAAAAGTAGCCTAGCTGTATTCTCAATGAGGGTCTGGAATATTTAGAAGTGCAGTCAAGTTTAAATTAATGAGTGAATTTAGTTTATAATCTCCCAGAGCTTCATTTTACCTTCTTGAAATCTTCCTGCTGATATCTAGACACTTGCCTTCTAATTAAAACTTCAGAAGTTCATTGAAGAAAATAAAAGTTAGAAAGTCAAGTTAATTAATTTTTGCTATGTTTCAGTGGGTTTGATAAGAGAATTTTTTGGCAAAGGTTGAAGGGCTCTGATTATTCAATCTGTGATGAATTTTATGGATTTTAGAGTTAGTTTTTAATTTTCCCATTATTGCATATAGTTGCGTGTTCGCTTTAGCTAAGTGATGTTGATGGAAAGTGTGGATGTGTTCTTTTCCATGTCTACCAAGAACAGAAGCAAACATAAAATATGTGGTAGTTTAGCTTCATTGTAATGGATAGCAAAGCAAATCACTAAGGAGGTCTCATTAATCTTTTAATATGGGATAAAAAAAAATTGTCCTGCATGACTGAAGAGCTACCAAGAGATGGTATTAAAATGACTGGGGTGGGGGGGGGGGGGGTAGGAAGTACAGATTGGGTGGCTTCTTAAAGTATTTGTAATCATAAAACTTTCAGACTTTTTTTGTTTGACATCTTCCCTTCAAATGTTGAATTATTTACAAATGAAGTTTTGAGCTTTTCGGTTTATTCCTTTCTTCATCCTCATTCCCAGCAATATCCAGTCTAACTATGATGTCACATTACAAGGGCCCAAAGGAAAGATGCAGAGTTTGGTCTCCAAATTGGTATGATTTTTGTTCAGTAACAGAGAACGTAGTTATTAAGTCTTCCTGAAGCCTTCCCTCCTCCAAGGATTTCTGCTTCTGGATAGCAACTTTTACTTTCCTCTAGTCAGCTACAATCATCAATCGCATTATAACCTTTCAGCAGTAAATTCCGAAGGTTATGTAAACGATGCAGGAGGGATGCAAAAGTTGCAAAAGTAAAGCAAATTTCAAGTATAAGTTTATGTCTCCATTAAAAGTGTTTAGATATAGCACTGGAAAATAAAGTAGCCACTTTACCTTAAAATCCACTACTTCAGAAACAAATATACTCAGCCAATTACTGAAAAAATTATTAAAATATATTTTTTAAGATTTATTTATTTTATGCACACTGAACTGGGGTACAGGCCAGAGGTACAGGGGCAGTGAGAGGATTCACCAGAGACAGAGTGGGAAGCAGAACAGGCAGATTGATGAAGTACACTGCTGAGGGGAGCAGCGGGCGGGTCAGGAGAAGTCTGCAGGGTCAGGAGAAGTCTGCTGTGCCATGTTGATCACCTCGGGGGCAAGCAGTGTTCGAACTCATGCTGAAGTGGCTTTAGCTGCTTAATGCTGTGTTTTTACCCGCTGCACCACCAGTGAGTGCCCCATTAAAGGATTTTTGTGTGTGTGTGATTTGTGAATATATTTGCATGGAAGGACTTACAACGTTGAGAAAATAAAATTGCATATTTATGTGATCATTTACCATCACCAAAAGCAATAAAATTACAACAGTGAGAACTAGGAGTGGTACTGATAAAACTCACTGATTATTGTAAATAGAACAAACAGATGTTGAGTATAAATAGGACCAGGGACACTGACGACAGCATGTTTACAGTTTGCCACTTCGTACACATTTAAACAAACTTGCATAGTACTTTCATACAGTCCTTAAGGAAATACTTGGAGAGTATAAACTTGGAGAGTATAGATGAGAAGGGGCTTAAAGGACAACTAAGAGAGTGGATGCAAAAAAGGGTGGTAAGCAAGAGAGGGCAAAGTGAAGGGAAGAGAACAGTTAACACTAGCATGTTGATGATGCTCTAGTAATTCTGCTACACAGAGAATGAATCCAAACCCTCAGAGTGTTATGTGCTGGTCACAGTGCTAAGCGCTTCCTATAAATTGCCTCGTTTTAACAGCCCTCTGAGGTGGATGGTAGTATTGCTATTTTATAGATGAGGAAACTGGGAGAGGCAGATGTGAAGGAAGTGGATGTTTGGAATGGAACCCATGTCCAGACAGCCCCAGGCCTCTAGAACCCATGCAAAGCCAGCCTTTGGCATCTCTGATCAATCATGTTCACAGTGCAGAAGAGTAAGGTCAAGTGCAGGACAGAAGATTCTAGTCTCAGAATGTGATCCTTATGCTCTTTGTTTAATCTTTGTGTCTGGAGTCACCAAAACCACACCTAGGCTCAGTGACCAATGGGTGGAATACACCTTTCCACCTGTATTCCTATATACAGCTCTGATTTGTTACAGCAAAAAGATACAGAGCAAAATCAGCAGAGAGGAAAGGGGTGAATTCCAGGAGAAAGTAGGCACAAGCATCCAAGAATCGTCTCTCAGTGAAGTCACACAGTATGTTCTTAATTGTCCCAGGAACAAGTTGTGGTAACATATGTGAAATATTTTTACCAAAGATGCTCTTTATAGACTTTGTCTCTGGGGTTTTGTTGGGGTCCGGGAGACCCCTCTGCCTAGCACATATTAGAATTCCAGGCTCCGAGAAGGAAAGCAGCTGTTCAGCATGAATTGAACTGCTTACCCAGTGTAGGCAACAGTGAGTCACTCTTCTTAGGTCTATATCCCACATGGCCTCCCAGAGTCAGTTTGCTGCCTCCACAGGATAGCAGCTTCAGGTCACTGTGCTAACTCTTTCCACACTCTTCATCATTTCCTTTCACTAAAGAAATGTTTTATTGGCTTGAAGTTTGAGGCATTGAGCCTAAACACATTTCTGTCTAAAAGCAAGTTAACAATGTCATTTTAAATTCAAATGACTGCATCAAGAGATCCACTTAAACTACTGAAAGCAGGAATTCTGACTAGGCAGAAATAACAGTCTCCTACAAATATATGATTGTCCATCATCTTATATCCCATAGAGCTATTGGGGCCATTGTAAGCAGCTCCTTTTTATACCCTGGCACTGCCGTAGAGGGGAAGAGAGGAAGAGTTCCCAATGTTTAGTTGCCTTCTTTCCCTAAAGTGCAGAGTGGTAGGCAAAATTCCCAGATGACACCCAAGATTTCTTCCCACCTGAAGAATGCACTCTGCATAATTCCTCCCTTAAATGTGGGCAGGTCTGGTAAATATGATAGGATAATCACTCCCTTGATATCTTATACTAAATGGCAGAAGAGAGATAACCTGTGAGTAGTCTTGATCTAGTCACATCAGTCCTTTAAAGCAGAGCTTCTCCAGTTATTCACAAATGAAGTCAGAGAATAATTTCTTTTGATTTCAAAGAATAAAACTTTGGGCTGTGACCCACCTCTGGCAGCCACATAAAGAAAGCCAATGGCTTATAAGAGATTGAGTGTCAGTTCCAAATGACAGGCAACAAGGTAGTGGAGTGTCCAGCTTAAACTACCAGAAATTGAATTCTGCCAAAACCAAGAGATGTTGGAGAATACCAACCCAAATCTGAGGTTCGGGTCCAGCGTAGACCACACTTTGATTCTAGCCCAGTAAGATACCCAACAAAAGTCTTCTGGAGCTGCAACTCCAGAACTGACCTACAAACCTGTGATATGACAGATGGTGTTTAAATTGATCCATCTATAATACCTTGCTCTGCAGCAAGAGTAAACTAATGCACATAGTAAGGTAGTGATCCCATGCCTTGTTCTTAGATCCCCTAGTTTAATAGCATCTATGAAAGCCTTAAATTTTTTTTTCCTGATTCCACTAGATGCTTGTAAGACATTGTAAATTCACGATGTCTTATCTGAAATGAACAAATGCAAAATGCATGTGCAATGTTGAAAGGAATCTGAGAAGGCTTGGTCAGAGCATGGTTAATTAGACATAGAACTGCTGTTACAAAGCTGGTTACTTCCCTAATTAAATTTTATGGTTTTGCTGAAGAATTAAAACAAGAAAGTTAAACAGAAAACCATGCCCCCAGAGAACTGGATTAAGAAAGCACCAACCAATTAAATTGTTAATTAAGAGCATAGCCATGATTTAAATAAAGTTATGATGGAAGGGGAACAGTTAGCAGGTGTGCAAAATTAGAGTAAGAACATCCTGTTCTGCCTACATTTCTTTACATATTCTTTGTGTTCTGAAGAAGTAGAAATGACTTTATGTAAGATCACAAAATTTTTATTACAGAATTGACATCCCCATTGAAAGAAAAATGAATGATGCTTCTGTTTTCAGTTTTCTCAACAAGGAGGTATTGGATTAAAAAAAAAATCCTGTATCTAAAAAGTATATCATTTTTTTCTAACTGAAAACAGCCTCAAAAATACTAGTTGATTTGTCAGGTATCATTGAGTGAAATGTCAAAAGTCATAATACCATGAAGGAAAACTGCACTTCATAAGAGAAAGGCCTCATCCGTACTCCTTCACTGCTGCCTTTCTAAGGTAGTCTCTCTTCTCAGCTTTGTGCCATTAACTGCCCTTCTCTTGATTCCTCTTTGGTACACACCCAAATCAGACACCAGTACCTATGTAGCTTTATAATACCTGTGTTCCTAGGAGCTTACAAGTTCAAACTTCCAACTGCATGGTTTGGCTGATTGTGAATTTGTGAAGAAAATAGGTGACAGATTTCATGCTGTGGTGGTTTCATTACTCTTTCTAGCCAAGGTGCTCTGCCTGAGATGTAAACCTAGCGGTCTCCTTAAGACAGGTTAAATGTCCCCCATTGCTAACAATAGTAACTCCCAGCCCAGACTACACTGAGTCACCTTGCAAGC